AATTTATCATTGTTTATTAAACTCTGAAAGCTGAGAGGCTTCGTTAATATTCTGTCCTAGAAGGTTAGATGGGCCCTTTTTTTTGAGCCCCTGCCCCTGTAGTGGCCTCTGCACGGCCCTGAGGAAGGCTTAAATTGGACCAGTTTGTTTTGCATTTTTCAGTTCAGTGAAATTCTGTTTTATTTAAATTGTTCAGGGTCATTTTGAGATTCATTCATTTATACTCAGCAAAATGGATCAAAGTGACGAACTTGAGTTAACTTATCTAGAAAAAAAATAGTTGAATAAAAACCTCAGTTGACGGAAAGCAAATTTTAACATAATTTGTTCATGCTGAGTGAAAAAATGCAAAATAAATTTACTGAATGGACATCAGTCTAACACGAAATAGTTTAATTAGTTCAACTAACTTCTTTGTCAGTCTAATTTGAAGAAGTTGGGTTAACTCATTAATTTTATCTTATATGTTTTTTTGTTTTCAATTAACAAAATACAATTATGTGGAACCTGTTGAAAAGAAAAAGTACGTTAAGTAAGGATTCATTTGGAAAGACTTCTGTCAACATTTCCTTTACCTCTGTATATTGTTGCCAGTTTAATCCAAGCAAAACTTTCATGTTTAATTTGAAATTATGTCTAAATTATTTAGTTCAGCAACAAACCAGCCTGCTCAAGGTCGCTGCATAATTCTGCTTTTGATATTTCAGAAAGTACAGCGACCCCAGCGGAGCCCCGGGCTTTGGCTCCACATGAGGCAATCAGTTTGGCCCAAAATAGGAGGTCAGGCTGCAGAACGGCTCGCTGGGTGTGAAGGAGAAACAACAAAAAGGAGAAAAACTCCAACCACAGAGAGGTGAACAGCGCAGAGACGGACTGAGGCATAAGCAAATCAAGCTGCTAACATTTCTACATTTTCTTCTCAACAGGTAATCACTTTTTTCTGTCCACATCCAATTAAACTGTTTTTATTTTTAAATAAATTCTCTCAGTCTGTGTTGAAGCACTGAAAACTCTGAAAGATCTATTTTGTAAGTCCAAGAATATTTCCTTCAATCTGAGGCAGACCACAGCGTCTCCAGAAAAAACAGAAGAAAAACTAACTGCAGGCATTTAACCAACTTCACTAAGCCTGTAACCCGTTCAGTCATCCAGCCACTGGGGGCGCTGTTACGAAAGGACTGTCTGTGCATGACTGGAGTGGAGCTGAAGCTGTCTACCTTTACGTCCCAAAACTTGATGAAAACATGATATGGAGATTCCAGCTTCAGCGGTGAGTTGCTTGACATTCAGATTGTTTCGATGCTTTTGCTGCGGGTTGTTAATTTTACGGTTAAAATCTGCTTTTAGGTCCTGTTATTTCTGTTTACGGGACGGAACGCCAAAGTGGGATTTAATTGTTTTTGCTAAGTTTGTGTATAAAACAATTTAAAATACTGAAATAGGATTATTGGTTATTTTTATTGATCTCTTACGGTTTCTTAATAATTCGGTTTAGCTGCCGTTGACATGTTTATTGATCTTCCGGGTGTTTTTGACATATTTCGACATGCTAGTGCTTGTGCTGCTGTTGATGAAGTGCCTATGATGCTTGGGTTTAATTCCGCCTTTTGCCAATAGACTATTGAATGAATATTTGATGAAAAACTGATGTTATTCATTCTTATGATTAATGAATTAATTTTGCTGACCTTGTTTAAATGTCTAGGTTTTTCTTTTGTTTTTGCTTAAAAATAAGAACCTTTGAACTACGTTGATCTACTCCCACCGTTAAGTGAGGGGCTTGTTTTTGTCATCAGAATAATTTTATTTGCATGTAATTATATGATGTCCATTAATTTACGTCTTTAATACAGTTTTGCCATTTAAATTTAAAAAGTTTCAGAAATGATGTTGGTAATGTGGTTGACCTGATCTGAACCATCCATTGCATCTGGCTGGATGTTCAGGAAGGTGAACCTCCGCCCCAGTCTGCATCAGAACAGAGAGTTTTCTTCTGTTTTGTTGCAGACATGATGTTCACGCCCAGCTCTCCGCCATCTGTTCTCACCAGTCAAGCTGTCTTGGCAGCGCCTCGGTACCAGGATGCTGCATGAACCCCGTCTCCACCCGAAAGCTTTCTCTGCCCCCATCAGATGCTTAAAGCCAAACATGTTCAACAAACTGACAGGATCACAGGCATCAAACTACTGAACTCACAATTCAGCGTTTCTGCAGAGACATGGAGACGTTCCCCGTCTAAAAGCTAAAGACGGTCGATTCAGTTACAGAAAAAGAACAAAACCGATGAGAAAAACTAACATATTTAGTTTGTCAAACCTGTAACATGCACATTTTTTCAGTTTTGATCATCAGTGGGCCTCCCATGCATGTTTTAGATGTTTTTGTGCTGCAGGACTCCTGATCCTTTTCAATTAACCAATTTAAAATATACTTTATTGATCGCAGTTCCTGCAGCAGTCTGTATTACAACAAATTTAAAGACGCCTCTGACGGAAGACACTTTTTTTATGACAGTTTCATGAAGAATATTGTCATGGTTATTATTTTTCTTGATTTTAGATAAAAAATGTAAACTATCTGCAGATGGGGAGGCATTAAACCTGCAGGTGACTAAACCCTCAGAGTGGCCTAGTTAAAACCTTAGAGCTAAAAGCAGCTGAGCATGTGAAATCAAAGAGGTTTCCTGGAGGAGATTCCCACGCTTTGTGGGTTATTCTGCATGAACTTTGGGTTTGTTTTGCTCTCCATCGCTACGGAAACCTGGGCAGAGTCGAGCACACAGTTTGAAAGGCTTTGAAGTGCTTTCTTTTGTTCCTGACAATGAGCGACAGCTGCAGAAAACAAAACACATTTTCCTTTACTTTACTCAGATTTGTTTAAATATATTTCAGAAATTTATCATGCAAGTTAAAAAGCAGAAAAAGGCCAACAAGAGAAAACTGGTGGTTAGTTCTGAGAAACGCCTCAGGAGCTCTTGTCCAAATGCCAGATCAAAAAAAGAGAAGTATTATTGATGCAGCAAACAAGCCATCACCTGTTTACAAGGTGTTGCTGCTCCGCCGGGCCTCTGTGGAAATCTGCAGAAACACTTTAGCAGCTGTTTGCTGCTGACTGAAAGCTGCAGAAACTGACAAGAAATGATTTTGTTATTGATCCACTCAGGTTAAATAAAAAAAGGTCAGTGATGCTTTTCTGTCTGCAGACTCAAAAAAGATAAATATCACAAAACGACGTGTGCAAAATACGCAAATTTATTAAAGTGATGCAGTAAAATGTGAGACTTTTGCAGCTTTTCTGTTACTATAAAAACATTCGAATCTGCAGAGATCCAACAAATCAATTGTTCTTCAACTTAAAATGTCATGTTTAAAACGGATTACAGTCACCAGCACATTTGCAAATAAACATTTATTAAAAGTGACAGCATTTATAATTTGGGAGGATCAGAGATTTTTTAAAATAAACTCAGACATAAACAAATGATTAGATCTATTTTTACTTTTTTTAAAATAATGACATTTTCTTTATAGGTTTGATTGATGCTAGTTGCTTATCGTTATAAATTGACTTTTGAGAGATTTCTATGCTAATATTTTTTCTTCAATACTCATTTTTATTCAAAACTTTTATGTCAACAAGCGACATGTTAATTTTAAACTGTAGATGAATTAAGCAAATGTAAAGTTGCATTTTATGATCGATTAAGATGAGATTCTTCTGAAACATTGAGTGTAAAAAAGGGGAAGCATTTCCACAGATAATAACCTGCAGTGTTTAAAACCACATCTTCCTCATTGATTCTCTTCACTTCGTTTAAATCCTCCGTACTTTTCCCGTGTTTCTGATTCTTATTGTTCCTTCCTCACAGGCATCATCCTCTTCCTCTATTTCTGTCCCAGTGAGCGTCTCCGCTTTGCTCTTTGTGTTGCTGTAATCCTCTTTCTGCACAGCGTTAATCTCCACCTATATGCAGCCGCAGGCCGCTCCGATGGCCGCTGGATAACTCCAACGTGCGTAGGAGAAAGCGGAACCGGGTGCGTGTGGGTCTGAGTGCTCAGTTTTTAGGAGGTTTTTGCTGCTTTACTGTTAAAAATGGGGGAAAACTGAGGAAGAATCGACCCAACAAGGCTGAATGAATGCTGCACGTTTCACTGCAAAAACAATTTTTGTCCAGTTTCTGCTGCAAATATTTTAGTCAACTTGAACTGAGACAAAAGTAACTTTTCAGCAAGATTAATCAGCTTGTTTTCAGTCAATACTTCTTGAATATGGATGCAAAATTTCTAGTTACTTTGGCAGATTTACTTTCACAAAACAGGAGAAATATCCTGTTAAAAGTTTAAAAAATTTCTAACAGGATAACTCAATTAACTGTTAAATTAACTGTGTAACAGTTCATTTTAAGCTAGTTTAGTTATTTCACGTGTACTAAGATAATAGTGTAAAAAACTGCTGGACTATTTGTCCCACCAACACCCAGCTGACGTCCGGCAGGACGAAGAAGAATCGGTGGAAGTGATTCTTTGACTTCTCTGCTCTTTGTGTTTGTCATTTTGAGCATCTGCTCTTTGTAAGGCTGACCTCACTCTGCGCTCGTCGTTCTGGACCTCATTACTCTCTCTGTGTCTGTTTGACAGCAGAGTCCAGCCTGGACTTCTGGACCTCATTAGTTTTCCAATTAGCTGGTGTCATCTGTCACCCGTCCTCCCGGTTACTTTGGCCGCCCTGATTCGTCTCACCAGGAACAAGCGGACTTACTTTTATTGAAAGTTTTTCAGGAAAAAAGATGAAAGTTTGGCTAAGAGATTTTTAGATGTAGATGTTCCCATTTAAATCAGTAATTATTATTTAATGTTACACACAGAGGTGACTTTCTTTTATTTTAAGATGTTTGTCATCTCTATGAATCACGTTTGAGGTCAATTTTCAACACTTCTCAGAAACCACAATAACTAGTGCAGGGACTTTAAGTCATTAATTTTTATTAATTATCCATCCATCCATCCATCCATCCATCCATCCATCCATCCATCCATCCATCCATCCATCCATTTTCTGAACACCCTTGTCCCTCAGTGGGGTCGGGAGGGGTGCTGGTGCCAATCTCCAGCTAACGTTCCGGGCGAGAGGCGGGGTACATCCTGGACAGGTCGCCAGTCTGTCGCAGATTAATTAGATTTTAATTAATTGAAAAACCTTTTGTATTCACTCGTTTCTGGAGCACCTGTAAAGCTACATCCGCTAACAACGACAATGAACTACGAAGCTGCTTCTCTGATCCCACCGGGATTAATTTCTGCTTCTGACTGATCAGATTGGACGCTGGAAAATACGATTCCTGTGCTAAGAGGAGTTAGCACAGCAAAGCTATTCAAGCCAAAAATAGCATCTCAATGCTAAACATGTAGCAGCTAATGCTAATGTTAGCGTCCACAGTCCAGATTTCTAAAGAAGCTCCTAGAAAGCTGAATTTACTCCAATCTGACAGCTGAAGAACAGATTAAAAACTATAAATATCTTTGTTGTTGAGCTAATTTATCTAATTATTCAATAATTTAGCAGTAAAAATGGTTTTTGAATTGAAAATGTTACTGAATTTGTTGATGGCTTTTGGTTAAAATGCTGATGGCGCATGAGAAAACTCAGATATATTTTCCTCGATTCTTCCAGTGAACCATCGTCACTCAGCTCGTTATAAACACGGTCAACACTGCAAAAACACAAAATCCTACCGAGAATTTGTGTCTAGTTTCTAGGGAAAATATCTCGGTAAACCTAAAATAAAATAAACTAACTTAAAAGTTTTAAACAAGATAAAGGAGTTTGTTTAAAGTCAATAAAAGTACTATTTCCACTGGCAGATGATTTTCCACTTGTAACAAAGGAAAATGTTGCCAGAGCTTGGCAACATTTAACAAATTTAAAATTTCAACCTTTCTTATTTAAAAGATAAACTGTTTTGGTTTTAATGAGACATAAATCTCACTAAAATTAAAGTTTTCTTTAAACGAGATACAGATGTTGAATTTATTTAGAAACTCTGGCAGTTAAACACTCTACTACTTTTAAATCGATAAAAATGATTGACTTAAGGTCAGCTTTGTTCCTTTTCAGTAAGGTTTGTCTTATTTCAAGTGTTTTTAAGACAGAAGTGGAAGTTGAGACTTTGTGTTTTTGCAGTGCAGGCAAACGGCGGCGCGCCCAGTCCGACCAGGACGGCGTGTTCTCTCTAAACCACCACAACTGATGATTGTTTCAGTAGTTTGAGAAAAGTCTTCCAACAAAGAGTCAAACTCTCAGCAGGGAAAGTGACGTGAAACAGCTGCGGTTTAATAATCGCTGGTAGAAAATAACTGTCATCTAGTTTATAACAGGATTTTTGAGGTTTGCATAGCAGTCACACCCACATCTCAGCCACACCGCAGCAACTGGCAGAAACCAAGAAGAAAAACATTAGAGGTGGAGCAGGGTTAAAAAATACATTTTCATTACAACATCCGGAAAACTGGGGCCATTAAATAAGGATTTAAATGGAAACGTGCAGCTTTGCGTCCAGCGTTTTACAGTCAGGAACAATTATATCGATTGTTTCACTGTTTTCTGACTGAACCAAGTTATGCAGTAAAACCAAAGGACAAATAAAAACAAAGGGCCAATTTATGAGAATAAAGTCAGAATATCAGTCGAATAAAGATTTTATTTTACAGTTTTCTATGAGAGCAAAACTCATCAAGTTTAAGATTCTTGGAAATAAACTCAGTCGTTACCGAATCCTTTAAACGTACTGCTAAGAATTTGATGCTGAGATTTTAAAAGATAAAATGTTTATATATTTGTGGACCTGATACCAAAGTATAACTTTACGAGAACATTCCTCATTTTACATTTTTATTTTTGTGTGTAGAAATTAACTTTTCTAATATTGCGATTTCATTCTGGTTGTGATTTTATTTTAACATTATTTCATCTTCATTGTTGTAAGTTTTATTTTTGTGAAATGTACAATAAGTTTATGGTATTTGGACTCCATTCTGTAATTTTTCTGTGTTTTAGTCAGACCTGAAGACGCGGCTGCAGTAATGACTGAAGAGAAACTCATGGACGAGTTTCTTCTGGGACGTTTAATCCTGGAAATGCTCTTCTTGTGATAGCAGGCTGACTTTGTCTTTGTTTTTACAGTTTCAGATAGTGATATCTACATTTCTCATGATAAACCACATAGACACAGATTTGTAGATACAACTTAAGATTAGAGAGAAACTTTTAGTTTCACATTCCTTTGAACAAAATCTTTTCCTTTGTCCTATCCAAGTTGTGAAAACATAAATGAAGTATATATTAAAACCAGAGAGGTTAGCATTATATGTAATATGATAATAGATTAAACCAATGAATTTTGGTTAAAAAGGTACAAACTTAATGTTTTATTGTTTTCTCATCATTTCAACATCCTATATCCATATATTGTTTGATATATGTTTCCTATTTATTCCAATGTTTGAAAAAAGTTTAACTTTAAGTTGACTGAATGTTATATTTTCCATTTTGTAGATATTTGCTGCCATGTTAGGCTGTTCTCAGGCAGAAGACCGACTTTGTAACCGCCTTTATGTGGCTGTGAATGTCCAGGCCTGAGTCCACCTCTAGTTTCCAGCTGCAGTAACTGAAGCTGTGCGTCGACTCCGGATCGTTCCTCTTTAGGTCCAAAGATAAAAACTTCAGTTTCTGTTCATCTGGAGAAAGTTTTATCTCCTCCATCACTGATTTAAACATCTGATCGGTGATTGGATCCCTGCTGACACCGTAACGTAGAGCTGAGTATCATCTGCGTCGTTATGGTAACTAATCTGATTACTTGTTATGACCTGAGCCAGCTGGAGAACCCCAGGACTGAGCCTTGGGGTTCCACACATGATTTTTCTCAGCTCCTTTGAAACGTTACCAATTGAAACAAAGAACTTCCTGTTCTGTGGGTCAAACTGGTTGGTTGTTTAATTTTCAGCTGAATCTGGTCCGATGATCTGTTCGTCCTAAAACCTCAGACATTCAGTTTGTGATCTCCACGGTTCATCCGCCCGTCTGAACCGTCAGCAGTTTGAGAACGTTCTCCAACCATTGAAGTCGGGCGGACAGTTGTGTAACCGCCGCGCTGTCATGACTGTCTGCGGGGAGATTCTCAACCAAACGCCGACACAAATCCTGGCTTTTATGTGCCTTGTTTTTGACACATGTTTATTAGTTCCCCTCCTGGTTGTGTTCGTTCTGCGTCGTGTCGGCG